TTTATTTCCTTCCTGGGTCAAGTACAGAAAAGACAAAACATTGTTGGAAAGACCATTATTCAAATGAGAGTGCACAGACCTTAATAGAAATCAGCCCAACCATTAACTTCTGTTTTAACGCAGCCCAGTAATTTTGTTCCCAACATTTGTAGGCATGATTGACTGTGCTGTTCCTGTCTGTTGTGGTGCATGTAAATGTGGCTCCATCCATATTTCCCAAAAAGCCTCATTCAGGACTTTAAAAGGCTCCAAATAAATATAAATTAGGGTTACCACGTGCCTTAATCTGAACTAATGCCAGCTAAAACCAAAATGAGTGGCCAAGAGTGGCTCCATCATTTGCAGTGTGCAGCCTTCAGCATGACAGTGCTGATACGGAGCAAGGATTTACCTTTGAACTCAAACATATGCTGGTGATTTTTGTTTCCTGAGTGGCCTTGTATGGAAAGAAGAAAGTGTGTGTTGGCTATTGGATCATAATTCACCTAAAAGCACATTTTACAGGCTTCTGCTTTTAAAATCATCATGGCTGAGTCTCTCTGACCTTGGTGTTTAACTTGTAGATTGACAGTTCATCTCAATGAGCTCAAGGAATGTCTTGTTTGTTTTTCTAAGAGGCATCTGAAAAACAACTTCTATAGTTTAGAGTTCTTAATTTGTTTCTAAAACATTCACATACTCTGTATCTTTTCATTCCATCCTTTAATTGAAGCTATAAAATGCTCATATTGAGTAAAAATATTCAAACACCATGCTGCACGTTTACATTAAATGAAAGAAAATTCTGTTTGTCTATTGCATCTTTTTAAAGCAATAGTTAGACATTTTGGTAATTTCATTCATTCATTCTTTCATTTTCTACCGCTTAGTCCCTGAACGGGGTCCCGGGGGGGTGGGGGCAAATCCGGTCGGCAATTGGGCGAAGGCGGGGTACACCCTGGACAGGTCGCCAATCCATCTGTTTCATTCAGTTTGGTTTAATAAATGGTTTAATAATCTTTAATTTATAATAATATGATGTGAAACTCAGTTAGATTTGCACAGAAAAAACTGGTAGAAATGTCTTTTGAAATGTTACTTTTTACTTTTATACTTTTGAGTACATTTCAGAGTCTGTAGTTTTTTTACTTTTACTCGAGTAGAGTGTGAATCAGTACTTCTATTTTTACCAGTCTGTGTGCGTACTTTTGCCATCTCTGATCGCTTCATATTTAGCTAACACCTAAACATGCCAGTGATATTGATCATCTAACACTTGGCAAGAAAGCAAACAAGACTCTT